AAGTTAAAATTCTGTAATGTGATGTGGTCAAAAATGTGCAGTCACTACCGAAACATGGGACGTTTTGTCAAAAATAAAGCATACTGAATTATCAACTAAGATGTTATGATAGTTTTGATTCAATTTATATTGAAACTAATGAATCCTTAACTTTGAAATCAGTATGATCAACTTTTTGCCTTTTACAAAAAAAAAAAATGGATTCAAAATACAACAAATCTCATAAATTACACTTGACATATTGTTAAAAATGTAATTGTTATTGATTTACCTCTGAATATTTTTTTTTTTTATAAAATAGCAAAAAAAAAATATTTACAATGTAGATGTAAGCAATATAACCCTTCTAATTAAATTATTATTACTGTTTCGGTAGTGACAAATTTGGGGAGAGGACAAATATTCCAAAATTTTCTGAAAATACAATATGAGAATTAACTGCACAATTAATACAATTTGCATGCATACAAATTTTTTGGAAAAATAAATGTTTTTCAAGACGTTTTTAACTTTGGACCAATTCTGTAGAATGGCCAATATAGCACCACTACCGTATAAAGAACCTGTTAAGCCCAGTATGGCTCAGCGGTTCTTTGGGGTGACTGAAGTGCTTTATAGCACAACTCCCATATAAAGAACCCGTTAAGCCCCTGTATAGTTCTTTAAATATTCTCTAACTCTCTCTTAGTCTCTTAGTTTAGTTGAGGATAGGATAAAAAACGACATTAAAATACAATTTATTTCCTGAAGATAACGTGGTTCTCAACCTTTTTGCCCCCAAGGCCCCCTATAAGGAAATATTCCAGGGCCCACACACAAAACTTTTTGACCTCAGAAAAGCATAAAAGTGAAGTAAATTGTAGTAAATTCCCATTCATAGCAAAAATCTAAGGAGGAGAATGGGGTTCCTCTAAGGGTTCTACATAGCATCATTTGACAAAGGTGCTGTATAGCGCCTTTAAAGATTGGTGCTGTATAGCAGTTAGAGTGGTTTCCCTATGATTACAAGCCAATGAGCCACTTTTAGTGCCATTTAACACCATTTCTGTGTTATAGGCAATAATGGAGATTTTATTTTTAATATTTTTTGGGAGGTAAGTCATCTATGTAAACGTTTGAGTTTTATGTAATGTACTAAATTTGCATATTCAGAAACTGACTTTAAAAAATAGTTGCAAGCGTGACAACTACCCTTGGTCTATTTTTAAATAATATAACAAATAGGGCTGGAAAAAAAATTATAGTCTTGGTTTTTGTGAATAATATGGATTGTTTAACATAAAAAAAAAGATCAATGCATCATTCTTTTTTTTTTCATTTCCTGTGGGTACTTTAATGTTTTTCCCCACTTCCTGTCTTTATCAATATATGCTCATGTTTATTCTGAATTATTTGGAGTCCGAATATATACATATATTTAAGGTTTTCACATTTTAAATGCTATTGCATCTATCTGTCTGTCTCTCTGTAAATACAGTCCATGCAGTTCCTCCTAATATTCAGGGTGCTACAGTTTCTTTATGGGTTTATGTCATTCTGAAAGCACATAAAATTGCACTGTAAAGCCATTAGCTTTACAGGAAACGTTCAGTCTGACAGTGGCTAATGGAAGATGAGGAGCGATGGGTCCTGCCTTGTTGGCTAAAGCCCAGTCACACTCCATCTGATCTTTACCTCGCCTATACAGGCCTATATATCCATACTGAGCTGTAGCAGCAGCTTGTGCGCTGGACTTGTGAAACTCTGCTCTTTCCACTTTAATGACCAGGGCTCAGCACTTCTTCATTACGGAGGAAGACCAGTTTCATATAATTCAAAGTCAAGCATGGAGACGTACTGGGTGGGTAGGGAGGTTCTGCCTAATGAGGATGCGTGTGTGTGTGGTTGTTTCTCTGCTGTTATTCAAAGCTCCCCTCATCCTAAACAATCAGTTTTTCAGACAGCATCAACATTCATGTGTGCAGATTGTTTCTGGCAGATCCTTACAGCTAACCACCTTTTCTTCAAGAAGGATTGTGGTTTATCGTGGTTAATCAGAATTATGTTATCGCTGGCATCAAGGAGCTGTGGAGTGCAGCATGCGATTATAAGCCTGTTTGTCTGACAGGCTGATTCTCATTAGAACACTTTCTTTGGTCTCTCTCGTATGAGAGCCTGCCAAAACAGCTGTGTCAAAAGAGGTCACAGCATAATTATCAACCCGTGACAGTAATGACCAATTTATTTCTCATATGTGGAGAACAGACTCTGTGGTTATCTGTATCTGTAGCTGTTTGTATCTTGAGCCAAAGGAGGTTGATGATATCTGAAGGAAGCCATCAGGTAGCATTCCCAGCGATTTAATGGCAGCTGCACGGCTGACGCAGCAAGTTACTTGATTTTAAAAACTGTCTCTGAACTTTAAAGCTGCAGTCCGTAAGTTTTGCCTCTTTGTCGCCATCTCTGTTTGAAAACCTGCAATTGCAGTTATTTGCGGAATTATCTTCCTTGCGTGGGTTGTGCACTGGCATGGCTCCAGCGCGGATGAATCTAATGTGTGGCTGTCAGTCACTGCATCGCTGTGGATACTGCACTTTGTATTCACTGATTCTACATCTTGAAAGTATGACCCAAATAAGAGTTTTCACTGGAGAATGTCATCTAATTTAATTTAATAATATAATAATAATTTACGCATTTAGCAGACACTTTTATCCAAAGCAACTTACAGTGCATTCAGGCTATACATTTTTTACCAGTATGTGTCTTCCCTGGGAATCGAACCCACGACCTTTTGCACTGCTAACGCAATGCTCTTCCACTGAGCCACAGGAACACTGAACATGTAAGTAACAACTGCCACTTTTGTTCTGATCAACTGAGGAAAAAAGCATTACAATAAATTGCGCTATCAATGGTGATTAAATCTAACGATTGGTTAGCTCATATCACATCAAACCGTGCCAATTATAATTATTGTTATACTTTGTTTTCAAATTCAATCCGCCATTTATTCCAGCTGCTGTGAGAAAAGGCTATAAACAATCCGTCACCTGCAGCATCCTCACGTGTGATATAGCATACTAGCCGGGACAACTTCTTTATGTTTACAGATGTGACGTATGACGCAGCGCCATGCTCGAATTGTTGTGGCTGAAAACTGAAAAATGAGCAATAATGAAATGCTATACTATTTTGTATAAATAGATGAAAATTAAAACACTACAATACTAAAATCAGTTTTTTTTTAATGCTGCAAGTCAATTTACCTTTGTGAAAAAGAAGTGCACTTCATTGTATTGAATGTGCACTTGTAGTGTACTTCAAATCTTAAAAATATATTTAAAAAATAATATAATATTAATAAAATAAAATGCTATCATGGCCGTTTCTTAACATACAGAAGTACAGTTTTAAAAAGCTCACTGTCAAATTTGTCACGTCAAATTAAAAGTTTTCATTTAAACTTTAAATATTTTTTTAATAACATTTTGTCATGCTTTAAAGAAGTACAATTATTTTCATGAGTTGGCTAACATACTACACATTTTAAATAATAGTATTTTCATCTGTAGTGTGTTATTCGATATTACGTTTAAAGTTTTAAAACTGGGTCACATTAACCAGCAGTACCCTGACCTCTTGTTTGAGCCAGACGTTATTATTGACCTTTCATAGGTCTGCTCTAGATGAGCACACCTGCACTGAATAATAATCAAATCTAGAATTGAGAGTATGACTTTTTTTCTCTGTTTCTATCTCTATCTGTCTCTTCCAGCCCACATCCTTGATCAGTTTCACAGACATCACACTGTGGGAGTTTTATAGGCATGATGCTTTCCAGCATGATTTATTTATTTCGCAGGTTTTGCTTTCTCATCAGGAGATTCGTATGACTGTGCTTTAGTTTCCCTGACATAAAGCTTAAAGGTTTGGCTCTGAGCAGCACAGGATGCATTGGCAAAGAGCCCTTTGTTTAAAGCATTTGACTTGACATACATAACATATTTATGATTTGTATTTGGGACAATGACAAAAGAAAACCATGGCACAATATATTTATTTATTTGTCTTTTTTTTTTGTCTATGTATTCTGAGAGCGAAGTACAGTATAAATATGTATATGTGTGTATTTATGGAGGTGAGGCTTGATTTTTTGTAGCAGATATTATCACACAATATTTACAATGAAATAATAGTTTGAGTTACAGGTTTGACTGGTTAGCATGACCCCGATGGACCCTGTTGGTAAATATTGTATCATATTTAATTTAATTTAATTCAGTTTCATTTTATTACTGTTCAATTTTATTTATTTTTTTTAAAGAAATTAATACTTTTATTCAGCAAGGAAGCATTTATATGTTACAAAGGATTACTATTCCATAAATGCTGTTCTTTTGAACTTTCTATTCATCAGATAATTCTGAAAATATATCACGATTTCCACAAACATATTATTCGTTTTCAACATTGATAAATAATGAGGAATGTTTCTTGATCAGCAAATCAGCATATACTGGAGTAATTATGCTGAAAATTCAGTTTTGTCATCACAAGAAGAAACTGCATTTTGAAATATGTTCAAATAGAAAACAATTATTTTAATTTGTAACAATAATGTACAATATTACAATAAACCATGTTTTTTTTAATCAAATAAAACAAGCCTTGATAAGCATATGAGACTTTTTTCAAAAACATAAAACTTTTGAACTTATATAGTTATATATTGGAGGGCTTTTAAAATGTGAAGTTATGTTTATATTTTTCTCTGTCTGCTACCTTTAACGTCATGAGATCCTGAAACAGAGCCTGATGTTACTTTGAGTCCACTCCAGGTCAAAAGTTCTCTTTCAGGATTTTGATGATGAACTATTGGATGTTTTCCTTGAGTTCATCATCCACTCACAATAGCTTCAAATCCTTCAGGCTGCTGCAACCTGCCATGCAGAATGAATTTGCCAGGCATGCCATAGATTTAAAGAAGTCATCTTCCTATTTCCTTTCTCTTCCTGTAGCTATGAGGGGCTGGAAAAGAAGCTGAAGGAGGTTTTCACAGAGAGGACAGGAATTTTACGACAACTCTCCAAAACATCAAAGGAGCTGGACAGAATAAAGGGGAACCTGCAGGTAAGACCCTTCCTTTCCTCCATTGGGCTGGCCATGTGATAGTGGGAAAGTTAAAGTGATTTATGATTCTTTGAATGTTTAAATAATCCATAGTGCATATTTGTTACATAATAATGCACTTTGTGGGTACTCCAAGGTTTTGCACTAGCTGTAATGCTATTGATGGTGTTTCTGTTACTCAGATCTTAGTCTGTTCTAAACATGTTTTGCTTTGCTTTTTTATGTTTTGTTGACATGTTTACTTTATGGCATTTTTAGAAGTATACTTCAAAGAAATATTGAATTATTTATGGCAGAGGTTTGTTTTGTATCTTTGCAAACACCTAAAACAAAAAGAACATAAAATTTAACTGAATTAATCTTTAAATCCAGTAAAACTGGATCTTGTTTCTAGTAAGTAAAATGTAACACTTTACATTAAGATACAATTTTTGACATTAATTCATGCACTAGGTATCAATGAACACCATTTTTTCTGCATTTATTATTCCAAATTACTGTTAATGTATAAATAGATTATTGTTCATTATTATTTTATGTTTGTTTCAAAATATAAGTGCAGTTGGAGAAACACTAAACAGAATGAATAGTAAAATAAATGTATGCTGGTGTAACGGAGGCCAGTGGTAGGTGCTGTGCAGGTAAACCTCACTCCCCTGATCTCAAGAGACGCACTAGGGCTGCAGTCTTTAGCCTCCTTGTTAGTGTGTCCGCCTCCCATGCCAGAGACCCAGGTTCAAGACCCACTCGGAGCGAGAAGGAGGCATGGCGGAGAGGACCCGGGGGAGAGGGGTTGCACTGGAATTCACAAAACCTTAACAAAACTACAATAATGTTAAAGCAAGTATTTATTTATTTATCTAGCAATCATTTGATCTATATTTGAGGAAAACATTGTTAGTCTAATGTGTTTGTATGACTTTGCGTGATTTGTAGTTTTTCTTTCTCAGCCTAAATTTTGAAGGGATATTTCCCCTAAAAATGAAAATTCTGTCCTCATTTAATCACCCTCATGTCATTCCAAACATGTATGACTTACTTACTTCTGTGGAACATAAAAGAAGATATTTCTTGTGTCTCAATGTCTTTAACCATACACTGGAAGTTTGGTAACTGTTTGGTTTCATGTACTTCGCAATGTTTGTTACTCAACTACAGTAGATGGGAAAACTCGCATGCTGAACTAACAGTAGCAAATTAAAGTACCCTATTACATGCTATTGCGTGAGCAAACTCCAAAATCCTTATGAGTACAATTATCTGTTGGATTTTGTACTGTGATTGTAAGAAACCACTAAACCAATGAACAAAACACACAGTAATATTTAAAATACAATAAAATACAACCAATAAGTTGCCAAGCAACTAAAAAATACAAAACTGCATTAGTAAACCAGGCAAGTGGACCTGTAAGGCGGCGCTAGCACATATGGAAACAGATTAGCCACAAAGAGAATGTATTATTCCAGGCATCTGAGCCAGTCAATCAAATACTTGATTGCCTTGTCCAATGGCAGTCAACCAAGCACTTGTGCCTGAGAAAAACCATATGCTCCAAATGCATTCAATCTAATTCATAGAGCGATTTATTGTTTTGCCGAAGCGCTTGGAGTGTTAATGGATAAGGACAATAACGGCATAAATAAAACTGACAGAAACACTTTTTTTTTTTCAGAAATATATCTACCACTGAAATGGGTCATCATGATTTTGATGCAGTTGTGTTTCTGGATGATCTGTCCTTTGCAATTCAGTGGGTCACTCAGTGAATTCTCTCTTACATGATTCCTGCATGAGAATGCATAGTAATGGCCAAATGAGTTTAATGGTTCTGTTAAGACACTATGTGCCGGCTCTAGTTGGATATGCAAGAGCAGCAGAACCTCAGGGGCCCGACTGCTGGACCGCAGCCGGAGAAAACCTGGCCCTGTGCCGAGCTGCTAGATCCCTTGAGTTCAAGTCTGAGATCTCCAGTGGATTTGTTGTAAAAGCATGATCAGCTATGACCTTTTTAGCATGATCAATTATGTATATGTGACCGATAACCCTTTTTGTAGTGCAGATTTACTGTCCATACTGTTTATTTTTATAATGAGATCTCCCCAGAGTGCTGCTCATCATCATTACATTTCGCCTGATGGAGCCTGTAGTCTTGGCAGGGGTTTGTCGGTTTGTGCCGTCACATTCATGCCAGCTTGGCCTGAATAGACACTGCAATGCCAATCTCAATACAACTCAACAGCTGCACAGATGGTCTTCCCCTGACAAAGCTTTGCTGCTGTTATTCACTGGAAACACAGAGAAGTCTAAGCGGGAAAGCGACAAAGCAACAGTAATGGCCAATAGGGGAGTGCGGGGCACAACGTAACGCGGGCTAAATTGTAACACACGTGGTTTAAATATTTCCACACATGCTAGCATACCCAAATTTACAGCATTTACTAGTTACTATATCAAAATTATATAGAGAAAAAAAGTGCGCCAAAATTCAAAAATCTTTTGAAGATATCGCTGAACATTTATTTTACCATAGTAAAATTATATTTCTGGCTTAAGTACATTTTTCATCTCAGTTTTTATTACTCATTTAAAATTAGACAAATCTGCTATTATTTTAATCTGCAATCTGTTATTTATCAGTTTAAATAATTTTTTAATGCTTCGCTAACTATCAGAAGACAGTAGCCAGTTTTAAATTCCAGTTGCACAGATGGGGTATGTTGTAACACTGCGTTACAATGTGCCCTGCCGTGCTATTCTATGACATTAGCGATGTAATTCACACTATTTACTTTAATAAATTTTAATGATAAACGACGAGAAACAGGTGAATAAAGACTGACAGTCAATGTTTAATGTTAAGAAATTATTATTTCAAGACATGTAAAGCATTTTGGCTCGTTTATATGGGCCGTCTCAAGCATGATTGCAATGTGTTCATTGTCAAATTCCAAAATCAGATTATTTTTAATTCTTAAAAAACGCCATTATTTTATTTGAAATAAATATTTTATTGACAAAATATATTAGTTTGTCTTGTATATTCTTTTCATTCGATCAGATCGCATTTTAAGCTGTTATATGGTCATGTTACAACGTGCCCCTCAGATGTTACAATGTACCCCACCTATGGGGCATGTTGTCACATTTCACTTCCAATTTTGTTGTCACATTTCACTTCCAATTTAAATAAAGAAAAACGTATACACTGTAATTATGAAACAAAGCGACATATTTGTACTAGACAAGTGTGAAATTACTGTGGATAAAAAAATTATACTCTGAACCCCATGTGGATTTACACAATTTGAGAAAGTCAAAAAGTGTTACTTTGTGCCCCGCTACGTGTTACATCAGAAAGTGTCCTGAAGTCAAGTCAAGCACTGTTGTTTTAAGTGCTGCTACATATCTAAAATTCTGTAATGTAATTATGTTTTTAGAAGATTACAATAGGGGTTTTTCACACTGCAAATAGTTAACCCTGGGCCATTCTAAACACCAGGTAAAGGGAATCCTGGGTCATCTTGTTTCATGTTTCACACTTTTCATAATTTACACAGAGTTAGCAATTAATCCTGGGTATTCACAATCTGATGTTTCACACTGTACATTCCTAAATGCTGAGTTTACTTTCGTGTTTGCATATTTGTGGTGTCATTTTCATTGATTGGATGAACACAACACCCAACCTGCTTACATGAAGGCTCTAACTCTTAGGCTATATTGCCGACTTTATTATCATCTATATTTTCAGACTTTTCTCAGTATAAAGGTAATATCACTTCTTCACTGCAATTCACATATTTTCCGTCACCATTTAATGTTTTCCCCCTTAAATGCTGAATAATTTTTTATACAATGAGCTGTGTTTCAGCGGCTGTCCAAAATAATGTGAATATGAGATACGCGACTGCTAGTCTGTTGCTAAGCATCTAGCTGTAACATTCTAACACAGCATAATTTCACATTGTACATGTTTAGCACCATAATGCGGTGGTAATAGTGTTCATTTTGTCAGCTATTTTTAATTTAGTCTTAATCCTGTGTAAAATCTAACTTTTAGTTTTTATCATATTTAGTCAACTTGTCCTGTTTTAGTTTTAGTCAAGTTTTAGTCGACTAAATGTCTGAGCATTTTAGTCTAGTTTTAGTCAGTGGAAACTTACACATTTTCGTCATATTTTCATTTTACAGTATAATAGTAAAATGATAAAAAATTATTATTTTGCTCAATTTTAATTACAATGATTGCTGTCATTTGGTAAATTTATTTTTACATTTCATCAGAAATTGCTCTTTCACCAATAAGCACAAATCAATAGAATATCAACTCATACATGGTTTATTTTACCTCAGTGTACAGATTTATAACAGGATATCAATTAGAGGCTAAATAAACACCCAATACTTTAGATATACACTCGCACTGTATGATGTTTTATTAACAAAGTTAGGGAGAAGCACGTTCAGATAATTAAGGGGAGGGGGAGCACTCTGGGTCCGGGCTAAATGCCAAGCTCGGACCCCTCTCCCCGGACAGGGGGAGTACCCCGGGTTCGGGAGAAATTACTAAACTCGGAGCCCTCTCCCCAGACAGCACGCCAAATACGCATAACCTTTACTCTGTTTATTATATGTAAGTGTGAACTCGTGAACTACGTTATGAAAATTGGTGTAACAAAAACCTTCTCTCAAGTATTATAACAGAGAAATTCCTAATAATAATTCCAATAATTTCAAATTGTATTATTGTTTTTCTTTTAAAAGAACGGCAAAAAAGACTTACATTATGGCTGCACAGAGGTTGCATAAGTAACGTTACAATCAGCAAACCACAATCGCAAACAATACAGTCGAGATCCATCTCGTTTTCGTCAGGGGAAAAAACTTTGTTGACGAACATTTTTCATCATAGATTTCGTTAACTAAATTAACACTAGGTGGTAACACCTCAAAAGCATTGGTAACCCTGCTCCAGAGCAGTGTTTCTTAACCCTGGGTAAAAAGGTGTGCTAAAACCGCTTCTAAATCACAAATGTGAAACCTGCGGTTAAAGGTGCTATATGTAAATTTTTGACTGTACTAAAGCATACAATAATATGTTTGCAGATATTTTAGAAACATGCTAGGTTCACATATTTGTTTCTACGAAAAACAATGCAACAGTCAGCCAATGTGCGTTCCATGTCGGAATGTCTGTTTTTATTTTGGTCTGTGTGATTCTGCCCACTGCCAATTTACCCAATAGTATTTCAACACCCAAGGTTGCCAGTGTAACAGAGGCCAGCTAGTAAGAGCTGTGCAGGTAAACCTCATTCCTCTGATTTCAAGAGGCGCACTAGTGACTGACACTAGAGGCTGCGGTCTTTTGCGTCCTTGTTAGCACGCCCGCCTTCCCTGCCTGAAGCATCGGGTTGAATTCCGCTCGGAGTGAGTGAGGTGAGTAGAACCAGAGGGGGCTACATTGGTGCCGTGACCCGGATGGGAGTGAGGTTTTGGGGGTTGAGTGTAACGGAGGCCAGCTAAGAGCTGTGCAGGTAAACCTCACTCCTCTGATTTCAAGAGGGCTAGAAAGACAGAGTTTGGACACCCCTGCTGTTGCGTGTCCTCAGTCTGGCAACCCACATGAGCATTGAGTCTGAGGAGGGGGCATGAGAAACAACTCTCTCCAATATTTTGAATTTGAACTGCAGCACCCATTTCAGCCACTAGCTGTCAATATTATATACTGCGCCCTTAAATGCAGGGTTTAGAATGACGATAACCCAGGGGTTAAGCGCAAGGTGACACTTTAGACATTCTACTAACTATACGTAACTTTGCACATACATGTCAACTACCAGTCATCAGAGTATTAGTAGTCTGTCTGCTTAATATCTGCTGACACTTTATTTTGATTGTCCCCCAAAAGACATTCTACTGACTATAAGTAACTTTGCAAGTACATGTCTATATTCTACTAACCATAACCTAACAGTCTACTATGACTCTAACGAGAGTTAGTTGACAAGCAGTTGCAAATTAATGGGAATTAGTTAACATGAGGTTGCAAAATTACTTAGTAGAATGTCTAAAGGAGAGTACTGAAATAAACTGTAACCCAGCGGGGTGTGACAAGCCCTAATCTTTATATACATTCAGTAATATTTTTGAATGTATCTAATAAATGATTATAAAATCCAGAGTACATATAATGTTACAACCCAACAGAGCCCATTACTTCCCATTGACTGTGATAAAAAAGTACATATTTTAATGCTCCTAAACATCAGAATTCTTTTCTTTCAAGGTTTTGCATTCCATTATTCATGGCTTATGCTGACTGAAGAAAATGGAAATGAGGCTATAATGAGAATTAGTCAGATTTCCTCTCTCTGATCTCACTGATGTTTCTCTAAGGAGGGAAACAGATGATTTGGAACTGCCCCACCAAAGCACCATTCTCAAGACTTTACTGTTTTTTTCCGGCTTACTGTAAAAATCAGCATTGTAGAAGGTGGTCATAGCTTTACAGATGAACAGATCTGAGAGTATCAGCTTCATCTGCCATTTCGAATAAAAAAATAAACAGCTCAAACACTCACACGCAAATATACAATATTATAAAGCATAAATCACAACCATTCTGTTTCCCTACAGTCTCTTAAGAATGATGATGCTGTGCCCAAGAAGGATGTTCAGAGGATCCTGAAGCTCAGTCACAAGCAAAGGTAAAGCCCTTTTTTTTCTCCACTGGACAATTTTTTGATCTCTCTCTGCAGGTCCTCCCGAAGCATCTCCCACTGTGTCATTAACTCAGCCATTGATCTGAGCCATAATATGAATGACTTACTTATAAAGCTGCAATTCTTAGAAAGATTGAGATTTAGAAGTATCACCAGCAAACTGTAGCAGGCATATTTAGACACATTTTTTTATTATTATTATTATTTCGGACAAAGGACTGAACCAGACAAGGAGCATAATGGCACAGAGTAAATGAGGGAACTGAACAGCAACAGCTGAACAGAATGATTAATGAGAGTAACCAATGAGGCTAACTAGGAAATCAGGCAGGCAAATCTAATAGAATATAAATATTTAAAATAGCATTTTATTACCATGTACACTACCATTCAAAATTTTGGGGTTGGTAAGGTTTTTTTTTTTTAAGTATAACTTTAATTATACTTATAGTATCCAATGAAAAATCTACTCAAGTAGCGAGTTACTAGTTACTTTGGATCATTCATATATATATATATATATATATATATATAATCAGAGACAGAATTAACATTTCAATAAATATATATATAATCAGCGTCAGAATTAACTTTTCAATAAAGGGGCAATATTTGCCTTGATTTCCATTTTTTTACTACAGGCAATTTTATAACTATGCTATTAAATGTATATATTTTCTTTCCTTCTTTCATTCTTTTTATTAAACCAATTAATTCAATCAATCACAATAGTATTGTCACAAAGCAAGGCCAGACACAACAGGTAAGTGCAAATCAGGATGGTTTATTGACTGGGTAAGGGGATGACTGGAATAGGTGAGGTAAAGGCAGGTGAGTGGAAACACAGTGAATGGTTCCAGGGTGCTTATCTGAGTTCTGATGGTGAGGATCGGATGCCGGTTACGTTGGAGATCGTGGAACAGTTTCCAAGGAGTCGTTGGAGGATCACGGGAGGAACAGCAGGTAATTCGTTCTAGGAGAATTTGGCAGAGAGAGTCCAGAGCAGTTCGTAGGAGTGAACGGTAGACCGGACAGTGAGTGACTGTGCTGTGTGTGTATTTGTAGTGTGGCTTGATTGGTGACAGCAGGTGCGGGTGATCAGAACTCAGGTGACTGTGATCGGGTAATTATCCTGGATGGTGACTGAAGTGACTGTGATGAATCCCTGACAAGTATAGAGTCTATACTATAGCCTGTTAGCAATCTCATTTTTTTCAACATCAACAAAAGCCATCTTTACACTGCAAAGGTGTAGCAGTAGCTGCATCTGACATGGCATTTAGGTTTATTCACACAGACTATATAATGCTGCCCATGTACACATATCTACACAAAAATTGCATAATGTAAATAGCCTATAAATAAATAATACTAATAAAAAAACAGGAACTCATTAGAGGGTGAAGCTGCAATATCATGAAAATAAATCATCATTGCTGATTATTGCTCTTGATATTGTAATAATGATCATTAATGTTGATTTGGCCTAATAGAAAGGGGAAAAGCATGAACCATTTATGAATTGCTTTTTAGAGATTAGACAATTGAGACTTCACATTGGTTATTATTTTAGTAGCATGAAAAACAAAACGGTTATTCAAACTGGGAATAGATTAGGCTATATAAAGAAAGCGAGCAAAGAACACTGAAGCGGTCCATGACTTCAGTCTGATGTGAGTAACGCACTTTTGCAAAAACTCCTGTTATAATCACTGAAGCTGTCTACATTGCACAATCAATCTCTTTTCTGCAGTTTTCTGTTTATGCTGATGAGAGAATTCACGAGTGCAGATTCAGAAATTAGTCAATAAGAGAATGCTCTGAACAACTCCGTAGTTCTCCGCAGTGACGTATTAAAATGCCTCTGATTGGATATTGCATTCAAAAGCTCAACAGAAACATGTGTGATTGGTTATCATTTTCAACATTGCAAAACGCGCTCAAAAAGAAATCTGATGCAATATAATAAACAGTACTGCTTAATATATTCGTGGAAACTGTGGTACTTGTTTTTCAGCACGCTTTGATGAATTGAAAGCTCAAAAGAACATTTTTTTAAACAATATTTATTTGAAATAGAAATCTTTAGTAACATTTCCTTTAAAAATTTTTTTACTAACCCTAAACTTTCAAATGGTGGTGTAAATGAGCAATCTTGAGCCCTAATTTTATTGATTTATTTTAAATGTATTATTTGTTTTTTGTCATTTTCAAATGAGCAGCACCAGAAAAAAACAACAAACAAGTTTGGCGACAAGTATCTCAGCCCATGTAGTGTTTCAGTCAACTTTAGATGAAATGAACTGTGAAGGAAAAAGTGCTGTGAGAGACTTAGTGAATTACTCATTCTCACACACCAACATCAGTAATTAGAGACTGTTAGCAACTGTTTACATGCGTACAGCTGTAGACAGATGCTCTGCCATTTGTCGTATACATCTAAGGCTCTCTCGGCGACTGTTGTTTCCCAGTTTCAAGAGCAACAGGGTTCTTTAACACAGCTTTTATGACCATCTCGGTTTAAATCAGATTAAATTGTCATGGGTTTTCAGTGATAGAAAAGTACAGAGCACTCCAGGACACTTGTGGTGGCATCATGGCAACAGACTGGATCCATCAAGGTTCAACCATGTTGGCTGTGGAGAGTTAGTGACAGAATTCAATTTCCCCCAGTGTCAGGTGTGCGTAATGGCTTCTATTTTTAACCCCAATCAACAGCAGACAGATATTGAAATGCAGGGCAGATGTGCTGAAGTTTCTGACCTTAACTCTCTTGATTAAAATGACAATATAAGCACCTGGTAGAAAAATAAATGGGCAGACCATCCCATGGAAATGTGTGATTACACAAGTCAGAAGAATGACAATGGATGCTGTATTTCACCTGCAAGTCGGCACACGGTGATGCTTCTCTGAGGCTTAGTGCAGCATAGATAAAGTGAGGTCCAAAAATCTGAGACCACACTGAAAATCTGGGATTCAAAATCTAATATAAACTTGCAAATAAACAAAGTTTTAGAATTTTGAATGAATAAGATATATTTCCAGCTTTATGGAAAACGTCTCAGGTTACTTATGTAACCATGGTTCCCTGAGTAGGGAACGAGACACTGCGTCCTCTAGGGGTCGCTATGGGGAACGCCTTGTCATGACCCGTGTCTGAAGCATACATTGAAAAAACACCAACTCGTTGGCCGGCGACAGCCATGACGTCACTACCGGTGCGACTATAGTATAAATAGGCGCCGGGAGCACACATCATTCACTTCTTCGTCTGAAGCTTGCGTCCGCAGCATGGCAAGAAACCTAGAGGACCCCTAGAGGACGCAGTTCGAAGTTCCCATGAAAGGGAATCGTGCCTATACATACAAATAACTGGACTGTCCGGCTAAAATTACGATAATTATTCCTTTTCACACAAATTGTAAATACAGGGGCAGGTTCCTACAGCAGTTCCTACTTGACCTCAAAACATGACCTCAAAACACTTTTACCATAGTGCATGATTTGTAAATTAAGACATTTTGACATTTGCATGACATGACAAGCTCCGTATGGCTTTTTGGGTGTAGTAAACGTGCTCGGTAGCTCACCTGGAAGAGCACAGAACTTGCGATGTGGAGAACTTGTGTACGAGTCCTTTGAAACACAAGGACTCAATTCTGTTCATTTAAATTCTGCTTTTCATTAAAATTGTTGTCATGATCATAATAAGAAAATAAAAATATAAAATTGTATTAGATTAAATGCAAAATAAAAGCACTGGTAGTCTTAGACATCTGGGTCCAACTTTATATCAGAATATTTATTTTATAATTCACATGGTGATATTAAGTCATTTAACAAGCAATAATAAGTATGGCTATTATGTCCCATTAAACTAAAAATAAACTTTAAAATGAGGCTGCAAGCAGCAATTAATAGAATCCAGCTGGCATAAAAAGACATAATAAAGAAGATGAAATAGAAAGGGTGACCCAAATGGTGCACTTTATGCGGGCTTGCAGTTATCTGACCTTCACATGTCTGTGTCTGTGAAATTTGTTTAGGGTGACCTTTTTGTCATTTAATGATTCAAATGGTCCTTATGTGTACAGCCCTTGTGGCTGCTATGCACCCTCAATGGCATTTTGTGAAGATGGAGTTACACTGACAGTCTTCCATTTTGATTTCTTGATCCATCAACGCCAATCTGTTTAAATTGTGTAAACACATGAAAGCCATTTCCAAAGATGACATGTCAAAATTTGATAAATTGGATGAGCAGTTCTCAAGGAGTATTTAGCCTCTGGTTTTGCCTGAAATGTCAAATACTGAAAAACATATATCTTAATTGTGGAACTTGGTGGTCCTTGAGGCAGATTTGTTTCCTATAAGGAGAGTGACTCTCATGTGAAATATTAAGTCTTGAGCTCAAACAGTGTAGTGGGGCTGATGTTATGAATATTGCAATTTTTTCCACTAGTTGCTAGGCAACCATACATCCCATCCATCCTAAAATTACAGAGAATGCAATTAGTGACAGACCCCGCATGCATGCAACGTTTGGTGAGTTTTCACCATAGGGACAAAAAGTTAGTTAATAACAAGCTTGCCCCCTCATCCTTGCTTATTTATCTCCAGCTATTAGTTTAATTAGTCTGTTTCTTCCAAGAATGTTTGAATGACCAAATACAATTTTGCTTGTTTTTGCTTGTTGTCTATAAACAACTCCAAGATTATAGTAAACTGTCTAAACAGTTCTAATGGAATAAAACATAGATATGTAGTGAATTTTAGTTTTGAACAGCACAGCGCAGCTGGTTAGATTTTAGTCTTCAATCATTACTCATTCTAAAGAACAAAATAGCGAGTATACAGTTTGTGGGCAAACCCTGCATAATATGATAGGGTGTATTAATTTACATATTTGTCATTGGCCTTTATTTATAGATATTGTTCAGTGATTTGTAATCCTTTTTGTTTGATGAATTTTTGTTGTGCTCATGTTCAGAAATGGCATTAAATGTGCTTTAGAATGTGTGTATAAGACATATAAGATAAAAGTAAGCCCTTGGAGTAGCCATTGTGATCACTATTCCCCTGTGCACTCTTATTCACTGCTTTCCATTTGTCTCTCTCTCTTCCTCTCTTCTCTCTCTCTCTCTCATTCACAGGGATGAGATGAAGTCACTCCAGGCAGCTCTGCAGAAACAACTAGATGATGCAGCTGAACGTGCAGAGAAACAGCAGGCCACCGTGAGACCCTTTACACTGATGTGTTAAACTGTATAAATATAGTCCACTCAAACTACTACCCACATAAACTTGGCCGTTGGTGACTGTCTCAAAATACTAATGATAATGGCCTAAAGCATTTTGCCACTCACGTGTTTACTCACAAAATCATTGGTTTTATTTGTCCATGGGTGATTCTTCAGTTACACTCTCAAAAGTAAAGGTTCAACAGGGGGTTTTCACAGTGGTGCCACAGAATAACCATTTTAGCTTCCCCAAAGAACTTTTCAGCAAGCTGTTCTTAAAAGGAGCTTTTTGAAAATCTAAATAATCTTTTTCCACTGTAAAGAATATTTTGTGTAATGGAAAGTTTCCATGAATGTTAAAGAGTTTTCCTGCGACCATCAATGCCATTAAATAACCATTATTTTTAAGAGTGTATGGGGCACTTTTGACTGCTTGAAGTCTTCAAAGAAAAGGAAACTTCTATACCCTATTTTAAAACATTAAAATTTTTACATAAAAGTTGTTAAAATATTTTTTTAAACTGTGATTTTCTTAAAACTTGTACAAGTACTAAGTGTAAATGTATTATAAAGAAGAAACTAAAAGGTCTGGGTTCTTGACAAGACCAATATATAGGAATACTGGCAAATTAATATTTCAACACCCTTAAAATGGGGGGGGGATTAAATAGAAACAAAGCAACAAAAAAAGTGTTGCCCTTTAAAACTAGAATGACTAATGAGAACACATAAAAAATAAAAAAAGATTTTTCGGTAGCACTTTATTTTACAGTACGTGTACTTCCCTGGTACATACATGGCAAATATCTTGTACCTACAGGCAAATGAGTGGTAACACAAGGTACTTACCTGAAGTGTATGTACATGGTAACAAAAAGAAACACGCCTGTACTTTACTTTTACTTTACTTTACTTTTAGTCATTTAGCAGACGCTTTTATCCAAAGCGACTTACAAATAAGAAAAAGTAATTAAAACTAAAAGCTAAAACTCTATAAATACTATATATATATACACACATTTAAGAAAATAAAAGAAATTAAATAAAAATGACAAATGCATACAAACAACATTTCAAAACTAAACATTTAAATGAAAACAAACAAACAAAAAACGTTTTTACTTAACATGTACTTAACAGTCGTACATGCATGGTAATTATTTTGTACATACAGACAAGTGTGGGTACTTACAGGTAGTGCCCGTACATGGTAACTAATTAGATACTTTACTGTACTTACTAATGTATATACATGGTAAATATGTAGCATTTACGGAAAAGTGGGTACAAACAGGCACATCCTTACAGTATCCATATATGGTAACTAATAAGACACATTACTGTACATACTAATGGTATGTACATGGTAAATGTGTAGCACCTACGGAAAAATGTGGTATTATGTGGTAACAAACAAGACACATACTGTACGTTTTTTCGTAATTTTTCCATAGGTGCTACACATTTACCATGTACATATCATTAGAATGTACAGTTATGTGTCTTATTAGTTACCATGTACGGATACTGTAATGACGTGCCTGATTGTACCCACTTGTCTGTAAGTACTACATATTTACCATGTATATACATTAGTAAGTACAGTAAAGTATCTAATTAGTTACCATGTAAGGGCACTACCTGCAAGTACCCACACTTGTCTGTATGTACAAAATAATTACCATGCATGTACAACTGTTAAGTACAGCCGTGTTTCTTATTTGTTACCATGTACATACACTTCAGGTAAGTACCTTGTGTTACCACTCAATTGCCTGTAGGTACAAGATATTTGCAATGTATGTATCAGGGAAGTACACGTACTGTAAAATAAAGTGCTACCGATTTTTCTTTGAAATCATACCATAGGTCAGTAAGTTTTTATTTATTTATTTTTGTTTATTGCTGCATTAAAGCATGTTTGGACTAAATGTTTTGACTTCTCCATTTTGAATGTTTCATTCATTCTGCTGTGTCACCACAGCACCCTCTTTATGTACCCCTGTCTAAAGTAATTACCAGGAAAACACTGGAATCCCCATTAAAGTCAGTGCTATGACATGGAGCGGCCAGAGAGAGACTCTTCTATTTTAGGCATATACCTTTAGGTCAGGAAGTGTTATGTTACAGTAATTATGGGAAACTGTAGGAAGCACCTTGCTAACTCTGGAGGAGATACACATTTATCTGCATGCAACTTTTCTTGTTTCATCTCTGTGTGTGGCTGCGTGCAGTACTGCGGGGGATAGAGGCACATGGGCTCGTGTTCGGAATGAGAATGAATCACTGAGAATGAGCATTTCACAAGCTCTGGCCATTCTACGAACAGTTCACCACCAATTGACAATTACAGATAGCAAAGCTGATTCACAACCCCATATATATTCACAAGCTGCAAGAATGTGGCCGTTCAGTCCGGGAAATGTTAACATTTTACGCTGCTGTTGAAACGGCCCAGTGATCTGTGACCTTTTGTTTGCCTGTAAGTGTCTTTTTATGACAAAATTTATATTATCTAATTATTATGTTAGCATTCTCCTGAGACCAAACTGTTTTGGTAAGATGAACAAAGTCCATATCAGCTTTTTAAAACTGCATGTTCAAAACTCATGCTCTAGAGAGAGTTTTATCATCTTAAAGAAAAAGTTCTTCTTAAAAACGAAAAATCTTTCATAATTTATTCATTCATTTTTCATGTTCATGAGGCTTCATGTCATTGACTTTCTTCTGCAAAACAAGAAAGAAGATATTTTGAAAAATGTCTTAGTGTTTTTTGGTCCATACAATGATTGGTCCAGTGCTGTTTTTGGACTTCCATTATGTGGACAAAAACATTGAAACATTCTTCAATTTATCTTATAAATAGCTCCTTCAAGGAATAATTAACAAAAAAATGAAAACATAATCAGAAATGTCTCGGGTTACTCGCGTAACCCATGTTCTCTGAATAGGGAACGAGATGCTGCATAGCTGTGACGCAATGATGGCGCGGGCGCCACCTCAATGTCACTACGTAACCCACTCTAATATTAGCGACCACGAAATCTGTACTGACTTTCTTCTGCAAAACACGAAAGAAGATATTTTGAAAAATGTCTTAGTGTTTTTTGGTCCATACAATGATTGGTCCAGTGCTGTTTTTGGACCCCCCTGACTTCCATTATGTGGACAAAAACATTGAAACATTCTTCAATTTATCTTATAAATAGCTCCTTCAAGGAATAATTAACAAAAAAATGAAAACATAATCAGAAATGTCTCGGGTTACTCGCGTAACCCATGTTCTCTGAATAGGGAACGAGATGCTGCATAGCTGTGACGCAATGATGGCGCGGGCGCCACCTCAATGTCACTACGTAACCCACTCTAATATTAGCGACCACGCCATCTGCGCCTCAGATTTCCTGCCGAAGAAGTCCTGTCTGCAGCACGAGGAGCTTGGCAGCAAACGTAACATCTCATTCCCTATTCAGAGAACATGGGTTACGCGAGTAACCCGAGACATTCTCTTTCATATGTTCACTCAACGCTGCGTAGCACCTGCCAAGCTAAGCACTGTCATATCTGGCCCAATGCAAAATAGACCAGGCTAACCTCAACGGCTGGTTCAAACAGAGAGAATCTGGGAACCAGGAGCTGCATCTAAATCCAAGCTATAAAACCTGATAAAAGTGTGAGGAGAGGACCATCCTGCCGCCACACAGATATCCTCCAGGAGAACTCCTCTGAAAAGAGCTTGAGAGGAAGCAACACTCCTGGTAGAATGAGCTCGAATACTTAGTGGTGAAGAGAGACCTCGCACCTCATACGCAAGTGAGATAGCATCGCTTACCCAATGAGAAATCCTATGTTTTGATGCGGCGAGCCCTCTGCGGCCAGCACCAAAACACACCAACAATTGGGATGACTTGCGCCATTGGCTAGAGCAGTCCACATAGAGCTTCAAAGCTCGAACAGGGCAGAGCAGGTGAAGCCTCTCGTCCTCAACAGAAGCAAAAAGTGGAGGACAGAAGGAGTGAAGCATGACCACCTTAGAGCGAAATGATGTGGACAAGACCTTGGGGACATAACCGGGTCTGGGCTGTAGGAATAACTTAACAAGGCCCGGAGCAAACTAAATGCATGACTTGCTAACAGAGAGAGGCTGCAAATCCCCTATGCGTTTGATAGAAGCCAACGCCAACAGGAGCGTCACCTTATGGGTCAGAATCTGTTCAGGAGGTGACTCCAAAGGCTCAAATGGCAACTCCAATAAGACCTCCAGGACAATAGACAAGTTCCAGAAAGGAACACTGACAGGGCGTGCCGGTCTCAAACACCTAACCCCACGCATAAATGCATGAGCTGAACACCATGACTCAAAAGTGTCACAGTGTTCCTGTGGCTCAGTGGTAGAGCATTGCGTTAGCGGTGCAAAAGGTCATGGGTTCAATTCCCAGGGAACACACATACTGATAAAAATGTGTAGCCTGAATGCAGTGTAAGTCGCTTTGGATAAAAGTGTCTGCTAAATGCATAAACTATTATTATTAAATTATTAATTATTAATTAAAAACCTTCCACTTGAAAGAATAAAGCATTATCAATGGTTTCCTGAATGACCACAGGAAGACCAGAGGTCACAGCTGATCGCCCTTGATCGGCCACACCCATAGCCTCCAAATCTCGGGCCGAGGATGCCAGATCCTGCCCTGGAGTTGAGACAGCAGGTCTTTCTGACTGGAATCTCCCATGGGGTGTGCTCTACCTCCACCCTGCCGAAAAGATCCCAGATCTGAGCCACCGTCTGGTGGCTCACCATCCATTCCCCCGACCTGAGTTTCTGCCTCAATAGGAAGTCCGCTGTAAGGTTCAGAGCCCTGGGGACGTGAACCGCTCTCAGCGAAAGAAACCTGTCCTGAGCCCAAAGAAGGAGGCAGCGCGCATGCCTTTCCATTGCTTCATAGCTACACAGCGTTGAGTGAACCTATGAAAGAGAACATAAAATAAGATATTTTTGTCAATACAGTGGAAGTCAAGGGTAACTAAAATTGTTTGCTTACCAACATTCTTCAAAATACCTTTTTTTGTATTCCACAGAAGAAAGAAAGTCATACAGGTTTGGAAAGGCATGAGACTGAGTAAATTACGACAGAATTTTCATTTTTGGGTGAACTGTCATTTAAGATTCATTTAGAAACTCGAATGAAATTAATCGTGAACCTGAATCTGATATAAAGCCTTTGAATTATTTGACAAATCAAAACATGTTTAGTCAAGACATTCCCTTACTTTATACTCAGATTGCATATAGTTCGCAAACAAAGCTGCGTGAAAACGGGAAATGAGGAACAAGATATTGTTCTATTGTAATCCCAAAAACCAAGATTTAAAAAAATATCTATGCATTGACTGCAGTATATCAATACGTGAGCTTGTGGACTGAATTAAATTAAAGTGCTAATCGGAATGAATACACCCACAGGTACGCTGCTGCTGTATTGTCTGGAACCGTGTACAGCTGCTCGACCTCAGTATTTAGATGTGTTGTTATTTTTCCACAGTGTCTGCCATGGCTGAAGGCAGGAGAGAGAGAATGAGAGTTGAGGTAGTTTGACATTCAGGGCTGAGCTGGGTGAATAAGGAGCAATAGTGGAACGTTCTATTTGATTGGAGTTGCGGTTCACCCTCAGGGCTGTAAACACTTCTGATTCTTTTTTGGTTGTTTGTACCACGCTCTGGATTGTTTTGGGAAACCTTCCCTTTCACATTTGTATTCCATATAGGCTTGTGTTGAAATATTTTTATATGGTTCTCTTAGGGCTGTGCAAAAAAATCGCCTGCGATTTTGAACGCGATTTTGTGTAGCTTGTCAGTGATCTACATCTCTGTGTAGTAAATGCCGCTCCATCTGAAAGCACGTGCTGGAGATTTACTACTAATCACCAGAAGCGGCTTAACTGACGAGATTCGCATGAAAATCACATTCGATTATTTGCCCAGCCCTAGGTTCTCTTTTCATTTGAGTTCAGTTCACCAAGGGTAAACATGATTGAGGTTTTCATGAATTTACATTGCAGTTATACACAGCAAATGTACAGTGAGATCTGATCTAACCTTGTTAGTCAATTTCATTCTTTCTTTATTATTTCAGTCTGTAAATCCTCAAATCAAGCCTGCAAACAAATAACAAATAAAATGTATATACAGCTCAGAATAATTTAATAAACTAAATCACAAACATAACTGTGCATTTATATTTTTGTACATACTGTACATTACTGTGCAAAGGTTTGGGGTCAGTACGTTTTTATTTATTTATTTTTATTTATTTAAGTAAATAATACTTTTATTCAGCAAGGATACATTAAATTGATTCTTTCATTCTTTTGAACTTGTCAAATCAAAGAATCCTAAAAAAGAAAAGTATCACCATTTCCACACAAATATTAAATGGCATAACTGTTTTCAGCATTGATAATAATAAGAAATTAGCATATTAGAATGACTTCTGAAGGATGCTGTGAGCAGCAAGATGGGTAGAATATATTAAAACAGAAAAAGTTTGAAAACCCTTTTTTTAATTTGTAATAATATTTCACAAATATTACTGTTTTTGCTGTATTTTTGTAGACTTCAAAAACATTAACATTTTGCCAACCCCAAATTTTTGAATGGTAGTGTATATTTAACAGCAAACATAATTCTTCCTTAAATCAGATCATCATGCACAATTTATGATGCTTTTTCTGTACAAAATGCTGCTGGGGATTTAATATGCAAATTTCCCCTCCCCCTCCCTTCCATGCAGATAAAGTTCTTAAAGATGGAGATGGAAAAGAAGAGCAAAATCATCAAAGACCTTCAGCAAGAGGTACTGTTTTGTTTTTTTGTTTTTTTAGGAAGTATTATTAATGTTTTAATTCTGGATATGCAATAATTCCTCAGAACATCAAAGAAATATACTTTCTTAATTTTTAATAGTAGCATTTACAGAATATGTGAGATTAAATGTGAAATAAAATAAAACAATGTTAAATGCTTTCATTCATCAAAGAAGAGAACAATCACCAGCCACAGCAGTTTCTTTTTGCCAACGGCTGGTCATAAATTAATGTAAAAAAATATAAAAATGGCATGATATTTTTTCTCAGTAGAGATTTATGTTCTACCGTGTTAACTACTGTGATATGCAGTGTTATGCAAGGTAACATCTACAGTGGAATGACTTTTAATTGAACATAAAATGGAAACTGTCCCTTAGTTCAACTGAAGTCGTAAATGATGACGGCATAATAACTATTTAATTTGTCAGGTTATATCACTTACCGTGGCTGAGTGAATTTTGCTTATATCTCAATTTAGCTTCATAGTTTCACTAAATAGGTAATGAAAATAAAATTCAAGATTTAAAATTATAGTTCACCCAAAAATGGAAATTTGGTAATCATTTACTCACCCTCATGTTGATCTAAACTAGAGTTGGGTACCGAACTCTGTACTTTTAAGGTACCGGCCGAATTGCGTCGTTACTACCGAGTACCGATTCACGTTAAATCAATCTGTGCCAAAAAAAGAAAGAAAAAGTTTGTAGGGCCCTATTGTTCAAAATGTTGAAATTGAGACTTTTGGACTTATTTTTTCCCTGAAATAAATGTTTTTGTAATTACACAGAGAAGTAAAGTACCGAAAAAAAGTACCATTGGGTACCGGCACAGAAATTCAGGTATCGATACCGGTACCGTACCGGTTCAAATGTGAACGGTACCCAACCCTAATCTAAACCTATATGACAACTCTGGACGCCACTGGCTTTCATTGTAAGGACTAAAAACTACTTTTTTCAAAGTACCTTCTTTTATGTTCCACAGAATAAAGAATGTCATACAGGTTTGGAACAGCATGAGGCTGAATAAATGATGACAGAAGTCTGATTTTTAGGTGAACCGTCCCTTTAAGGCTATACTGTTTAAATCTGAATTTTTTCATGGCTGTTGTTTGAAGTGTCTTGACTGCACTGTGCCCTATCTGCTTGGGTGGATCCTTGTGTCATTGCAGTCTTTAGCAGGGCAGCCACATGCCACTTTTAATGACAGCTGCCATTTTTCTTACAGACTTGGGCACTCATTCTTCTTCAGAGACGGGTAGAAATGCAAGTGTGTGGATTTGACACTCAGCCAATTCCACCTCATTGAATCGTATTGCAATGCTATTCTGCTTCATTACCTCAAACACTCTTTCACTTGCTCTCAGAACGTCCCTACCTTCCTTTCTCTGTTCTTATTCTTTCTCTCACAGTCACTTTAATGTAACACCTCTGTGGACCACCAGCTATTATATATTCCCAAGTCAATTTGTTGGTGAGGGCCACTGACTCGTTACACAGCAGGTGTTGTAATTACAATACAAGTAGAAAAGAGCCTGTTGAACTTTCAGTGTTAATTTAATGACGGAAGCAACGAACATATGGTATGAAAAGCAAGTGTTCTGCTGAGATAATGGCTTTGCCATTTTTAGTTGTTTTGAAATTTTCTGTCAAACGTCACTTGGTGGAAGTAAGTGAAAATCCTGAACGTTTTTGCTCTCCACATGAATGAATTATGTAATTTAGTGCAATTCAATGAAAACTGCACTTAGTTAGACAAATGCAATTAACTATTGGGATTTTGCGATCACATGAATTGATGCAAATTCAACCAGACCCCATTTTATTTGTGGTAGTGTGTAATTTGCTCCTATTTTCTCTGTTTTCTCTGCTCCTATTTTTTCTGACAAAAAATACAAATTTGAGGGGGGAAAGTGCAATGTTAGCTAATCAACACTCTGAAGGGTGTCTCATTCTGTCTCGCATGTGTGCATAGACGTCACTGCCACTAATTTTTTAAACAGTATGGGGGGAAATAAACTTTACAGCACAGCAGCAAAATTCATGTTAGCGGTTAAGACTGTTGAGACAAATAAATCTTCAGCATCCAATATTGTCTCTTTGTGTCCTCTCCAGTTACTTATGTTCATTTGGAATGACCTTATAAAAAGTGTCCCATTCCTGCAGTGCCCATCAAAATGCTATGCTATGCTATGCTATCAAAATGCTATGCTTGAAATGTGCCCTTGATCTTCACATAAATATCACAGAAATACTAAGACCTTTCTCATTTACTGACTTCATTAGATAGTAACATTAACGTAAGAGTAACAGTAAGTTTGTATATGTGTGTACAATACTATTCTAAAGTTTGGGTTCTGTAAGATTGGTCTGTAAGATTTTTGAAATAAGTCACTTATGCTCAACTGTATGTATGACATGCATAGAAAAATATTGCATATATGTAAATTTTGTCTCTCAAGAAAATTATTACCAGAAGTCTCAGAACCTAATTGTCCATTTGTGTTAATGATTGAAAAGGTTTTGTTAACATGATCACTCTGTGGACACATTCTAGTTTTGTTTATGCTAAATACAAATATGCTATTGCATCATTGTTGTCTTAACATTTGAATGCGTACTGCATATTCAGTTATTATGCACTAAAATAATTACAGGTAATTGTACTTCTATTGTCACTAACACTATTTGCATGATTGTTGCTGGGTTTTCACTGCAAACCAACACCAAAAACATCACAAGTAGCATCGCAATTTTAGAGAAAAGCCTCTGGAAATTAAGTCATTTTTGGGCCCCCAATTATCAGCAAAAAGTCCTGTGAAATCCTGGTGGGTCTGAAGCTGGGTGACATTGCCACTATAAGCGTGTAGGCTACATTTGCATCTGAGAGCAACACATAGACAAAGGAAGTGAGAAATTGAGGCAGAGAGAGAGAGATAATGAGAGAAAAAATAAAAGCAAAAGAACACGAACAGAGAGAAAGAAAAAAGAGGAGGTGGAGAAAAGCACTAGATTAAACTCAGCACCACCATCATCTCTGTATTGATTCTTAATCTACCATCATCTATTTCCATAAAGACATCCACTGCAGGTTATTACAGAAATGAGGCATATACTCCTGGGTCACCTTGAGCTTCAATAAGCTTGTGAGGGAACTGTCAAAATGAGCTCATTGGAAACATTTGAAGCATTGCTTTTGTCTGCAGGGACAGGGGTACCATTAAATTGAGTGTATTTACCTAGATAAAACAAGACGTCGGGGCTTGTTTCATGCTTGATGTTACAAAGCCGTCGGTACAGTATATCTCTATTTATTGCCTTTTCCTGTCTTGCAGAATAAAAGCCTGAAGAACAAACTTCTGTCCGGAAACAAGCTCTGCGACATACATGCAGAGGAGGTATGTTATGCGGACTGTTGAAAATACTGCAGCATTTCTATTCAAACCAAAAATAATATTGCTCCTCGCAGAAGCGTTATGCATATTCACACATATTCACATGCCACCCTCAGATTTTTGAGCTTGATTTTGAATGCAAGCTCTATAAATATATAATTATATTATTTTAGTTTTTATTTATTACAAAATTATGTTTAATGATTATTGACAAAAGGTTTTCTCTCACACTTTGGTGAAGAAATTGCTAGTAAATTTTACAATTAATTATGAAGAAACAGCAAGTAAAGTAACATACTGAATTAAACAAACTTTTGAAGTAGAAAGACTACAACGGTTTTTATTGCAAATCATACCCGAATAATCGTTCGAAATATAACAAAGTAAATAAAGTATTCTCTTATGCTTGCCAAGGCTGCATTTATTTGATCAATACAGTAAAAACAGTAATATTATGAAATATTATTACAGTTTAAAATAACTGTTTTCTTTTTTTTATATATTTTAAAAAGCAATTTATTCCTGATGGCAAAGTTGAATTTTCAGCAGTCATTACTCCAGTCTTCAGTGTCATATGATCTTTCATAATATGCTGATTTGGTGCGCAAGAAGCATTATTATCAATGATGAAAATATTATATTTTTTTAGATTCTTTGATGAATAGGACATTCGAAAGAACAGCAAAAGTCGTTTGTAACATTATAATTATCTATACTTAAATAGAACTCACTTTTGAAACAGTTTATTGCATTCTTGCAGAATCAAATGTATTAATTTATTTTTTTTAAAAAGACCCGGAACAATATATATTTAAACACACATTTTCTAGGTTGATGCTAGATTCAAGTGCAAGCAACTTGATATTATAAACTCAATATTCTACTCATTCCAAGCTAGAAAACTGGGAAGGTAGACAAATAAATGCAAGTGTATTTGCAACGTGACTTTGCTTCTCTAAGGGGGAGAGAGTAATGAAGTCTCATTAGTTTTGTGGAGGTGCTGTACACTTCAGTTACTAAGAGATTACTGAAGACACTGAGGCTATAGAGTAAAGGGGTGTATGTGTGTGTGTGTGTGTGTGTGTGTGTGTAAATGTTTACAACTGTGGCAGCAATCCACAGGCAGCAAGCCAAGACAATACCATACCATGGTGTGAGTGTTATTGTGCAAGCGTGTATGCCTGGGTGTTGATGTGTTAATGTGTTTGCGTCATCGAGTGGTCCCTGCAGTCCACTGAAGGGAAGAGTTTTATATTTTCTTGTTCAGTGAAGGTCTCTCCTTTGAATTGGATCTTTGCCCAGCAAGCGTTCACAAAGGAACACTTCGGCATGGCCACAAAAAGCCTGCTACACAATCTAAATCCAATTTTACTATTTGAATAAGCTAACATACATTCTCTCTTATCTTCATTTTGCAGTCCAAAAAAATCCAAGCCCAACTGAAAGAGCTGAGGTATGGCAAAAAGGATTTAATTTTTAAGGTAAGAACCAAACAAAGAGCATGTGTCATTACTGTACCCTTGCATGGTGCGCAGGGGCCTTAGCGATGATTTTACCCAAGCGGTTTAACCACAGTCACTGGTTTAACCGCCAGACACTGCTGGCCAAATGGGTGCCAGAATTGTATTGTTGTGCCCCCTCCCCCAAATATTATGGAAGTAAAAAAAACAAAAAACTACTATAGGGGTCAAAATAGAACTTTAATAAAATATAAAAGTAAATAAATAAATTGTATTATTTACAAATTACAACTGCTGCTCTAGACAGTTACCTATGGCTATGATTTTATTAATACAGTTGTCTAATTGATTTTATAAGCATTCAGAAATCACGCAAAAGAAAATTAAGCAGTTTTACAACGATAAAACCATGGTTAATTTTTGTAAGGGTTGTGATGTCCACATGTTTTTGTTTTAGAAATTATAGAGGCTGTGTCATCTATCACAAAAAGGTGGCCAAAAATTAAAGATTAAGTGGATATTTGAATGTTTGATCAATATTAAACAAGGACTTAATCGTCCTGTAAGTGTAAGCAATTACCAGGCCTTTGGCTCCCTTTGCAGGCATTTGTAATAATATGTAATGCACATAAATTGTTTATTTTGTATTAGCCTACATTATTTTAACAGTGTTATTCAATGAAACCATATAATTATTAATTAACCAATCATTATTGCCTCTTATTTTTTATATAATGCATTTTAAGTCATTTTAAAGGCTGTTGTTGGCTTAGGTCTTTTTTATAACTACAGAAAATATTATTAATACTTCTTTGGTTACCATGGCTACAAGAACCATGATTTTTGGTTTTATTAGTAGTAAAACCATGGCTAATTTTCGTAAGGGAACATGGAAACTCAGAGAGAATATATATGCATTGGTGGCGGGGGCGGACTTACCAATTAGGCAAAGGTAGGCGACCGCCTTGGGCCCCCAAAAGCCAAGGGCCCCCTAAAATGCTTTTCATATAGGATATGCGCATTAAGCGCTGACACGCGAACGGTTGCTGTTTACGGTGTTTATTACCACGACAACCGTCCGAGTCAGTGGCGCCTGCAGGTGTACGGCTGTACGCACTGTGAGTACCATGAGCGCTCAGACTGACCTCAGATTTGCCCCGCAAACATTTCAGCAGTTATTAGGCCTGTGCCTCCCGTATTTCTGTCGACTGAACCAGTCATGACATTAATTATGAATTTATCAGTCTTTTGCATGCCAAAATCAATTTCTGCATAGAAATATTACGCCAAATAGAAGCAGAAAATCGTGCTATATGCACTTTCATGAGATCGGCTTAGCCTACAACAATTAATTTGTTGACTATTTCACAAATGGGAATACAACGAATTCATGACAATGTTTACATTCAAGCTACCCGTAAAAT